TTTAGAAAATATTTTTTTTTAATAAAATGCAAAATATTTATTTTAAATTTATTTGATGTTGCTATATTATAATTTTTCTTTCAATTACTTTCAATTTCTTATTTAGAAAACAAAATTATTTTAGGTTAAAATATTTTTTTCTTATTAATTTTCATTCATAATTTCATAATCTTCCTCTTCTGATATTTATTTTATTTTATTTTTTTATCAGACATTATTTTTAATGACATTTCATTTTATTATATTGCCGCAAGTGATATAATTTCAAGCAAACACATTTATATTACTTATATCATTCATATACAGTATGTACATATGTACATATATTTGTATACAATATAATTACATGCGCACTCGTGCGATATTTTGCATACTTATTAGCGCATTCTACAAAGAATTCAAAATAAAAACAAAAACTCTCGCACACACACACAACTACGTATTTGTGCAACAAAAACTGCCTGTTAAATATTGCGTCATTAGAACATACGTATCACGTGATTTACGTTTAGTTAAGTACTCCCATATGGCAGCAAAATCTACACAGAAAAGTAAATAGTATGGTGCGAGATCGTGTAAGTGCAATTAGTTGCAAAAAAAAAGGTAATTAAAAAAGCAAAAAAGAAAAAAAATTTAAACAAGCTATTATATAAAATATCTATATAATACAACAAAATGACTTGCCGCAAGCAAAAATAGCAATTCTTGAATTGCGAAAGAGAACGGCGTGTGAGAATTGGAGAGTGCTGTGCTTTTTTGTCCCCCACAAAATGCACTCAAAAATGACACTGCAACACATTTGCATTTCTAATTTAAGAGTGTGCTGGCAATTCATAAGAGCATGCAAAGCGTATGCCTATGCTCTTAAGTGCATATTTAAGCTCGTTTGGCGCTCCAATGCAACAACTAGAAGCCATGCGGCGAAATAAATGACAGACAGAAATGAGCCGTTGAAATGCATTTTCGTTGTTGTAGTCTTTATAAAAATAAAGGTGTTGTTTTAAAAATGTATTGTTGCTGTTGTTTTTTATATAAATTTGTGTTGCTGTTGGTTTTATATAAATTTATTTGTTGTTGCTTTTATATGAATTCTGTTGTTGTTGTTTTGTTTTTATATAAATTTTTTCGTTTTATATTTCACCCTGTTCTCTTATGTATTTTTTGCTTTTTTTTGCCTCATGTCCACGCTCAATTCATTTTTTGTTGCACACTTTTTACCGGCGAAATTGGCGCACATTCGCGTTGCTGCTGGTCTATAGCGGCAATGTGTGCAACGAAGGAGCTGCTGCGCTGCTGCTGCGCCTATGTAAAGTTGTACATATTTTACATACATATATACGTGCTTAACAGCATTTCCTTTACATACCTCTTTGTTTTTGAAAGCTATACACATGTATTTGAAATGGGTGGGCAGCGAGATCATCAATTGTGTTTTCCATTGCTTTGTTCTAACGTTTTGCAACACGATAAATGCATTTTTAGCAGAATAACTGTATAAAAAAGTGTTTTGCATTATCGTAGGAGAATATTGAGAGTTACCTGGCACATATTCCCGTACATATTTACACAAATTGCATTTTTAAATATTGACTATTTGAAGAGTCGGCAGCGGAATAGTTTATTGAAAATAAAATATTATCGCATTCAATTCAGCTATAAATAGTATGTACATATAATATACATGTACATATATGTGTGTAAGCAAACGATATGACAATAAGAAATTTGTTTGTTTTGTGCACTCAAGCTATGGATGGCAATCAATTATTGAATCGAAATATCAGTGAAAAAATATTAAAAAAAAAAAATAATAAAAAATTATAATTGATGAAAAGCGGCAACAGAGCGAAAAACCTGCTGAGAAAGCCCCAGGAGCAAATTTAGACAATTATAAAAATTATATTTAAAAATTAAAAAAAAAAATTAAAAATTTATTGATCACTGTTTTTTTTATTTCTTCTATCATGCCGGCATTACGCAAGCGGAGATGAATTTTTTTTTTTTTTCCATTAGAACGCAGCAGCGCCAAGCGTCTGTCGAACTCGGGGCATGCTGGTCACGCGTGCAAGTCGCCGGTGCACACGCAGCAATTAAAAACAAAAACCCAGAAAATATAGATCGCAAAACAAGTGTTCCAGCGCTAAAATGTCAAGTAGTTAATTGCCCGATCTTGATTTGATCACCATTCAAACTTAATTAACACGCTTGAAGTGCTGCCACGACATGCCGTTGTGGTGCTGCTGATAACACAAGGCCAACGACGCTGAGGGTGTGTCTTAAAGTGACAACAACAACGAAATGCAGTGTAGCATTGACAAAGAAGATGGTCTAATGAAGTGTTCCCACGTCAATTAGGTCAATATAACCGGAACGGAACCAGATTTTTATACGGCGAAGGATTGTTAACATGACTGCATTCCACAAAATTATGGGGAGAATGTTTACTAACACTACAACAACAATAATAAACACTTAAATGAAATTAATTAGGAGACTTTTATAGTGAAGTTCAAATTCAAGTTTCCTACTTGGAGCAAACACGCATAGATATTGCCGTAAACATGTTTTTTCCAGAAATAATTTCAAGTTCAACTCTTAACTACTGCTATGATAAGCGTTTGGGATAATATATATAAATATATTAAAAATGTATATATATATGTATATATATATATATATGTATATATATTTATAGAACAATATATATGAATAGCAACACTTATGCGCGCTTAAAATACATTACCTAACCGATAACACCAAGGCAAAAGTTTAGACAAGGCAGCAATAAATGCTACGATTAAGCGCCCATGCGACTGATAAACGAATTTTTGCAATATTTGATACTTGAAAACTAAAACTCGCCTGATACGCAATCCAAACGAATGCGACCGGTATCGCACATTGTTTTTGTTCGCTTTTTTTGTTTCTTCTTCATAGATGCTTTCGCTGTACATATATACATACTAGGGAGTGCAATTGGACGCTTATCAGCGCGAATGGCAACAATGCTGATACCAAATCAAGGCAGAGACGCACGTAACGATTTATAAGACATTAGCACGACCCCATCAGCCGGTAGCCGGCATGTAGACTGCATGGTCTACGTCTGATAAATGTACGGCGAAAATCAGTCTAAAGGTTCACGTGGTAATTTATGGACGCCATGTAAGTTTCCGAGCGCTTCAGATGTGTGCTCGAATGAGGCTTTCGAAAACCGCTCAGCGTCAAGTGGCGCAAAAGAATGGCTAGCTAGCCAAGTGGTACGACATAAATAAGCGATGCAGGGTGGCTAAAGGAAACGCTACTCCGATAAGATAATATTGAATAATGGTGAAATGTTTGCGTTGATCAAATGTTTAATCGCACACATTATCCTTACTTTTTTGTTCAATTTCTCAGTTTTCCAACTTGCGCTTTTAGCACTGTTGGTGGGTGTTGTTGTTATCTGTGCTAGAATATCTTTAAAAAATGAATGTTTGTTTTTTAGACTTTTTTCTTTTTTTTTCTCGTTTTTGCCTTTAAGTGAGATATTTATAGAACTCCAACGACTACACGGCTGTAGTAGATCATGTCGCACATGAGTATGACAACAACAAAGTGGTGGTGGATATCAAGCGTTGAGTGCGTGCAAAACAGCTGAGTGCCGAAGTCGAGCGGTGATACCGCCAAAGAATAC